TAAGACGTTGATTTGGACGGTAGCATTTCTCTGTCTTCATCTACTTCTCAAAGCACCCAATACCCCCTGCTTGCTTGATTTCTTCCATGTACTCCTCTATTATATCCCTCATAACCTGTAAATTAAGCATACACATCAAGCTTTTCTCAATATATATATTTGTGTGCTTGGGGCCAAAGGTTTAATATAAAGCAAAAGAAGAAGGTTTCTAAGGCCAAATGACAGATCGCAGTGCTGCACCTAGGAAAACAGACAAACTTATGTAGAAAACTATAATTTCTTTATGCCAAGGTCATGTTTGATTCATTTTTTACTCTAAGTGGAGACTGGGGTAACTAAACCACAACAAATTGTGTTTTAATTGCACATCTAAAACTAACATAAAAAATTAGAATTGGAGTTTGAAAGGAACAGAATAAAAGATGAACCAAATGAGCTGTGAAAATATATAGGAACTAAGAAAATTTTTCAGCTTCTTTTTGAAAGAAATTTCAGAGAGAACCAGGGTATTAATACTGGCAAAACCATCTGGACATTCAGTTGGAATTATAATACAATCAAAATGACTAAGTACATGAAAAATTCAAAATTTCTTTTGAATACTTTGGCAGACCCTCTGGCTCACTACGTAACTTCTGCCAAACCTCAAACAGTATATCTACTGCAGCTTCCATTAGTTCATTAAATTACTTTTTCTTTACTCTAAAAGGATGGTAGAAACCTCCAAAAGAAAAGTATGGACAAACATTTTACACATGTTTTCATAGGAACAGTCAGAGCTTCCACACCATAGTTTCTTAAAAAATACTTCTGAACAAGATCCGTTGCTCACCTGTAAAGTTGTTCGCTTTACTTTCTTTCCACGGTATGACATTCTTCGGCGTTTATAATCCCTTTCTTCAGCCAATAACTCTTCTCTAGTCTTTGTCCTCTTTGTTTCCTTTACATGAACACAAGCATTTATCAACTTCTTTTTTTTTTTAGAAATAAAAGCGTTTATCAATTTATGAGAAAGAGAGTTAAAAATGATTTCTCTAGAAAAATGGAATCTCATGACTGAAAACTCTGATGCCATGCTCGTCAATAACAACTTTAGGAACCGACTTTCAAATTTACAAGCTTACACCTAAATTGGTAATTAGTCATAGATTCAATTAACAACCCCTTAGACATACAGACTCTTGTAATGTTCCGTGTGACTTATTTAGCAACTCAATTCCCAACAGCAACGCAGCCTCTGCACTTTGTGCAACATCTAAAGAATTACAACCAGACATGAAACATCCCAACTGAGAGCTACTAAAAGGTGTAAGTTCCCAAAGAAAAAAGCAACAAAGGAGAATAGAGAAGACTTCGGGATGGTATCATTTGATAAAAGATTATGTCAATTCTTTAATATACTTAGACCATGGTCTTAAATTCAAACACAACCCATGCATGACTTGGGAAATATTAATTTTGAAAATGAAAAATCAATACCTGGTTAGATGTTTGTTGTCGAGGAAGCCCATCATGCCCAATGATAGCCTTATAATTGGAACGGTTTATCCGCTCCTCTTCAGCTCTCTTTGATAGAATATCATGTTCAGTCATTCTATAATCAAGGCAACTAACATTTATGAGTATATTCCTTACAACTCAAGATATTATAAGATGTACATGTTATAAAAAATAACACTATCACAAAGCAATAACAATAATAGAAAAGTTAGTTGTCTAATTACAACCAAGTATTAGTTGTTCAAACAATACCATTATCATAAGTAAGACAACAAAGTAAATATGAAATTTGCATTTGTAGTAGTGCTAAATAAACTAGATGCAAGCAGCTAAAACGAAAAATCGTCATTTAAATACGAAAATAAACGCTAAAAGTTCACAAAGTAAATAAAGCAAAGCATATATAAGAGAAAATCATAAAAGAAAGATAACGAACCGCTGGTATCTCGTTACTGGTTGACTAAACCGCAATTCCCTGATCTTTTCTTCAAGAAGGGACCTTTCGTGCAATGCTGCAATGGCTGCAGCTACTTGAGACACAAAAACCACACCTTTGACAACAGATCCCTCCATTCTGTTCTTCAGTTCACACTTTCCACCTTTTTCGAGTGGCTCTTCCGGTTTCATATCCTCAATCTGTATGCCATTATTTTTTAATCTCTCAGATCCTTCTGTCGATTTATGAATGTCAATCACCTGTTTTTCCAACGGAAACAACAACAGCCGTGATGCAGATTCTGTTATACATTGCCTAAGAATATCAATGGCAAAGAACTTTCCATTAATGTCCCCATATAAAACAGAAAGCTTAGAGACAAACCATGTTAACACTTGAACCAGAACAGGACAGTTCAACCTTTTACACTTCAAATTCATCTCTGGTTCTTTCCCTTTTAATTCACCACCTTTCAAGGCTGATTCTACCAAACCAAATGCTTCCCTGACGATTGCTCTTAAACACAATCGAAACAGGACCGACATATGATCCCTCATGTACACATCAATTATAACTCCATAGCGTGGAGAATTAGCTATTAGCCATTTCCTCATATCGCCCTCATCAACCATTTTCAACCCCAAAAAGGCGCAGAGAACATTAAAAGAACACGTATAGGGATAATCCGCCCAGCTATCAATCTCATTTCTAATTGCCCAGTAATCTGATGGCAATACACTAAAGCCCTCGATGTCAAAGCCCTTCTTCACCTCTTTCTCACCAAAACCCACAAAATTAGCGCATTCAACAGATAAAACCCTAGGCAATTGAAAGGTCCTCCTTATACCATCAACCTCATAGAAGTTGACAACACCCGGACAATCTTTGTAAAAAAAATTAGTCCCAAAATTTACGTAATCATCCAAAGAGAAGCAGAGCTCGGAATCGCCGGCGTTTTCTAGAGACTGAATAAAGTGAGTCTCGTGTTGTAATTCGGAAGATGACTTGAAGGAACTTGGGTAATGCAAAGAGGCAACGAGGGGAGTGAGGTCAAGAGGAGATGGGCAGTGAAGGGAGTGGAGGAAGAGAGACTCAGTTGGCATGAGATGGTGAGGATTGACGGGGCAAGCGACGAGATTGTCATTTCCGGGTTTCCGGAGGAGAGAATGAGGGTTTAGGGAAAGGATTTTAGAGAAGGAGTCGAGGGTTTGGTGTGTGTGAGAGATGAGGGCTTTGAGAGAAGAGAGAGCTGCAGAGAGATCAGGAACTGGAGGAGCAGGAGGAGTGGGAAGATTAGGGGAAAGGTTAGTGGTTAGGGGAGGAGAGTGGAAGAAAAAATTAGGGTTCTGAGGGTGGGAGAATAGATTCATGGTTATGGAGTTTGGGTAAACATAATTTGAAGAGAGAACTATAACCAAAGAACTCAACGATCCATAACCGAAGAAAGAAGAACGCCGAAGAAAGTAGAACATATAACATTTTAGAATTCTATATAACTTTTTTTTTTATTATTTAATTTTATAAAACAAAAATAAAAATATAACATACATAAAATAAATTTATATTTATAAAGATCTAACCATATTATTTAATAATTTATAGGTTTGAAATAATTTAAATGTACCAAATAATTATAAAACTGATGTTAAAATTAAAAAAATCTAGTTTTTATATTTTTTTAAAAAAATTATTTTAATTGTGTTCTGATTATTTTTTAAATATACAGCTCTTATATATTTTAATAAATAAATTGTAATATTTAAATTTTTTATTAAAAAATATATATAATTATTAAATTATCTATAAAATTTTAAGTTATATATTATTAAATTTATATTTTTTAAAATTAATTATTTGATATTGAAAAAATTGTTTAACCTGTTAATTTTTTTAAAAAAAAAATTTAAACTCAACATTTGTTGGTATAGATATTTGTATACTCTGATGAATACATACATTCTAACAAAAAGACAAATAATTAATTAACACATCCTAATCATCTAACCTTAAATAGATAAAAGAAGACTCATTTTTACAGCTTAATTTCTATTAGATAATTTATAAAAAAAAAAAGAAACATTTTTTAAAATCTGATGTTTACTTATATATTCTGATAAGAAGCTGTCAAATTCAATAAAAAGTAAGGATTTTTACCATTCTACTTAGCCATGTAGATGTTGGGTCATTTTCATTGCAGCTTTAACAACTTAGAATATGAAATATTATATATATATATGTATACATACTATATATACATAACTACTGTATTAATTATCAGCTATGGAAACTCTGATCCAAAACCAGTTTATGTCAGTATATGAAGAAACTAGTTGAATTTTGTAGTTGTTGAAGAATGATTTCAGCCCTGATATTATTAAAAAGAAACAAATATTAAACAGCCGGCGATTTTTGTTTGCTATGAGAAAAGCTTATGAGCAGATAATTTCCTGTATCATCTATAAATACCCATCATTCATCTTCCGCTCAACCAAGCAATAAATTAGTGAAGGGAAGTATCCGAAATCACCATGAAAGTTTTTCGCTTCGTTGCAGTAATGTCTTCTCTATTGGCAGCCATAGCAGTTTCCTTTGTCTCTGCATCAGACCCTAGTCCTCTACAGGACTTCTGTGTGGGTACCAATGAGCCATCGAATATCGGTATGCATTGGTCTTATCATCGTATCAGGAATTCTTTCGAGCTTTCCTACATTTTCTCATTGAGCTTGTGTTAGTTTTATATTGATTTCTTAGACTGCAACTAATAAAGTTTTGTTTGTGTTTTTATAGTGTTTGTGAATGGAAAATTCTGCAAAGATCCAAAACTGGCGACTGCAGATGATTTTTTCTTTTCAGGCCTTACAAAGCCTGGAAATACTACGAATCGAGTTGGTTCAAATGTCACAACTGTTAATGTCAACCAGATTTCAGGACTGAACACTCTTGGCATATCCATTGTTCGTGTTGACTATGCCCCTGGTGGCCAGAACCCACCTCATACTCATCCCCGTGGTACGGAAATCCTAGTGGTCTTGGAAGGGACATTGTACGTTGGATTTGTGGCATCTAACCAAAATAACAATACTCTCTTTACTAAAATTTTGAATCCTGGTGACGTTTTCGTGTTCCCGGTAGGATTGATCCATTTTCAGTTCAATATTGGAAAGATAAAGGCTGTTGCTTTTGCTGCTTTAAGCAGCCAAAATCCAGGAGTTATCACGATTGCAAATTCAGTTTTCGGGTCCAATCCACCCATCGACCCTCATGTCCTCACCAAAGCATTCCAATTAGACATGAATGTGATAAAGTTTCTGCAATCAGTGTTCTGATAAAGGTTAGAGAAACCGGAATAATTCATTAAGCTCACTTGCGATAGTGGTATGTTTTTCGGATGAAGTCTATGGTGTATGCCATTATTGTATAAAGAGGTTGATAGTGACCTCTCTGTGTTTGGTTTTGGATATTATGCAATAGTTCCTTTATATATGTATTTATGAGTGTCAGCATTAGTGTGGAATATTATGAAGTTGAGCAATGTATTTTTAATGGTCTGTGGTATGCAGAGGCAGAATCTTGTGAAAGCTAATAATATTCTCTCTCTCTCTCTCTATATATATATAAATATGTTTTTTTATAGAAACAGAGAATCAGTAACTTCCAATTTCATTTTTCTATATTTCATATCATTATCAATTACCATTCCAACTCACTTTCTAATTTTTAATGAGTTATAGATCAATTCTAGTCGTTCAGGGGATTAAGCTTAACACAAACAGACTTTGTTCAAATATATATACACACATATGAATATTATATTATGAAGCTTTATTATATTATGATATTTAACTAGCATGAGCTAGAGACCAGAACATAAACAAGCAAACATAAGGCAATAAAGCCAGTACTTAAAAGGATATTACACTATCCCATGTAAGGTGTGAACAACTTCTTCCTTATTGATTAAGAAATTATACCGAACTTCAAAATTTTAGTTATAGGACCAGAATTGGGATTGCAGATGCTTCACGATATCTACTTCCAATTGAAATGCACTGGCAAGAACATCGGGATAAATAGGTGGCTTTGACCCAAAAACTGTATTTGCTATGGTGATCACCCCTGCATTCTGGCTGCCCAAACCGGCAAAAGCAACAGCATTTGTTTTTCCAATATTAACCTGGAAGTGAACCTGTCCTATTGGGAACACGAACACATCTCCAGGATACAGAACTTTGGTGAAAAGGGTGTTGTTGTTTTGGTTGGATGCAACAAATCCAACGTACAAACTTCCCTCTAGTAGCACAAGGATCTCTGTGCCACGAGGGTGAGTGTGAGGTGGGTTTTGGCCGCCTGGTGCATAGTCAATTCGAACCAAAGATATACCAAGAGTGTTTAGTCCTGGAATTTGATCGACGTTAACTGTTGTCACATTGGAGCGTACTGGATTTTCTGTGTTTCCGGGAACATTCAGCCCTCGGAAGAAGAAATCATCTGCTTTAACTAGCTTTGGGTCCTTGCAGAATTTGCCATTCACAAACACTGTCCACACACACACACACACACATATACATATATATGACAGTATTCTCAAACAAATGGAGAAACACTAAGATCAATGTGGTAGAAAAAGAGTAACTTACCACCATTGTTGAGATCAGGAATGGCAACACAGAAGTCCTGAAGGGGGCTGGGATCATAAGCAGAAGAAAATGGAGAAACCAGAGCCAATATGGCAAGAGCTGTAATCAACTGTAAACCCTTCATTTTTTTCAATTAAGCAACTGATGATTTTAGCCAAGGGTGAGAAAACTTGCATGATAAATCATTGTTTATATAGGCAGGAGTCTTTGAATTGGTCTATTTGTTTTTTCTCTGAAGCAGGTAAAGATTTCACTTACTTCCAATTGGTTTCTGTTAATTTTTTTTTTTAATAATTTCAGTGGTTAGTACTTAGTGTCTATGGTTAGTAATTATGATAATTTAAACTTCTTTGACTGGATAAACACATGAGAAATAATTTCTTAATTATCATAAATATATGTTTATGGTTGGTAATTAGTGTCTAGAAGATGAATTTATTCAATATATTAGGTGTACATACCTGCTTTATGTCACATTTTTTTAATTAATTTCACTTAGGAAGATCATGAATACGATGCTTGACATGGAAAAAACAAGTTATGCAGAAATGGCAAGGAAGTAATCTTTTCCACCTAACAGTCTGCATAGATTCTTTGATCTTTAATTTCTATATTTCTCTTTTCCCATTTTAAGAACAAGGAAAATGCAGGGACAGATAGACCATTATAATACCCTTATATATAATATTTGTTGAAATTAGAAACTCCTATATATATATATATATAGAAGTTTTTTTTAACAGTTAATTCATCATGTAAGATTATCTTAGGCTAACACAAAGCCAGTGTCATGTGGGCTTGAATGGATTATATTACCCTAGAAGAAACCAAGTCTTGCATGCTGCTGAAAACCAAAAGGAAGTAGTTGGGTCAACGGGAATTTTGGTATTAACTAGTTTTTAGATGAAGTGTCAACATCTACAGAGAACTAAATGTGTGTATATATATATTGCATTACATGATAAATGCTATGCTGTATATGACTTTATTATTTATTTGGTTGGTAGAAGTTGTTGCCAAAGGATGATGGTTATTGGCTCATAAACAGGGTAGATGGAATGCAAAAGAATGATTCCTAGGATCTATATATATCTAGAAGACAAATATAATGATTTATATATATATATATATATATATATACACACACACACATAATTTAGAGACTGAGATTAATCCAACAGTACTGCTTTACTAATCTGTTGAAAAGTAGAATAAAAGACTTATCTACGGTGCTGTATTTGGTGATACATACTTAAGCCAAAATTTAAATGAAACAACATCAATCTTGTTATTCACATGAAGAGGATTATATACTTATAATCAAAATTTGCTCAAACCCGAGAAAGAAAAGATGGAAAAATAAAAATTTGCTCGAATCCGAGTATAGGGTTTTCTGTCAAAATCCCATTGTTGCGATTAAGCTATATATTATATATATTATGTATTATGTATTTTTTATGGATATTTATATATTAAAAATAATGTTTTTTTTAATGTTAAAAAAAATTATATCTGATTTTTAATCCATTTTGATTATTTTAATTAATTTTGATTAACTTAGTCTTAACTTTTCATACTACATTACTATATATATATATATATATATAAATGAAAGATCATGATGGTAGAAACTTAAAATTATCTGCTCATTAAACTAAAGGGGATGGGGGTGATTTGTTCTTCTAGACCAAGTATATATAATACATGGATCATGTAAGCATAATAGTCAATTAATAAGAAGATAAATATCGTTAGTTGTTCCAAAATTACTAACCATTGAATTTATAAAAAAAAATTAACAAAACCATTGAAAAAATTTGAAATCTTTACCTGCTTCAGAGAAAAACAAATAGACCAATTCAAAGATCCTGCCTATATAAACAATGATTTACCATACAAGTTTTCTCACCCTTGCCTAAGATCATCAGTTAATAATCAAGCTTAATTAAAAAAAAATGGAGGGTTTACCGTTGATTACAGCTTTTGCCATATTGGCTCTGGTTTCTCCATTTGTTTCTGCTTATGATCCTAGCCCCCTTCAGGACTTCTGTGTTGCCATCCCTGATCTCAACAATGGTGGTAAGTTACTCTTTTTCTACCACATTGATCTTAGTGTTTCTCCATTTGTTTGAGAATACTGTCATATATATATATGTGTGTGTGTATGGATTAACATGTTATACTTGAGGAACAGTGTTTGTGAACGGAAAATTCTGCAAGGACCCAAAGCTAGTTAAAGCAGATGATTTCTTCTACCGAGGGCTGAATGTTCCCGGAAACACAGAAAATCCAGTACGCTCCAATGTGACAACAGTTAACGTTGATCAAATTCCAGGACTAAACACTCTTGGTATATCTTTGGTTCGTATTGACTACGCACCAGGGGGCCAAAACCCACCTCACATTCACCCTCGTGGTACAGAAATCCTTGTACTCCTAGAAGGAAGTCTGTATGTCGGATTTGTAGCATCCAACCAAAACAACAACACCCTTTTTGCCAAAGTTCTGTATCCTGGAGACGTGTTCGTGTTCCCAATAGGTCAAATTCACTTTCAAGTTAATGTTGGAAAAACAAATGCTGTTGCTTTTGCCGGTTTGGGCAGCCAAAATGCAGGGGTGATTACCATAGCAGATACAGTTTTTGGGTCGAAGCCACCAATTTATCCCGATGTTCTTGCCAGGGCATTCCAATTGGATGTAGATATCGTGAAGCATCTGCAGTCCCGATTCTCGTCCTACAATTAAAAATTTTTAAGTTTGATATAATTTCTTAATCAATAAGGAAGAAGTTGTTCACACCTTACATGGGATAGTGTAATATCCTTCAAGTACTGGCTTTAATGCCTTATGTGTGTTTGTTTATGTTTTGGTCTCTAGCTCATGCTAGTTAAGTATTATAACATAATAAACAGGTTTGATCTTTCTTAATCCCTCCCTCAATCTCTCTCCTGAAATATTATATATAGATAGATATATGACAACTCATCTACTTGCTAAAAGGAATAAAGGATCAAAACCAAACGTTGACTAGTAAATTACATTAATTGAGGATTTAGTAAGTCTCAAAGTTTACTAATTTATCAAAAAATTCATCCCTCCAATCTGCGTCTAAGTTGGCAGGTTTTCGATGCAAAATTCTTAACTCAGTGAAGAACAATTACCAAGAAAAGAAAAGCAAGGCATGCAGCAACTGCTATCTTTTTTCAAGAATGAAAGGTCTTAAGTTCCTTGCAGCGGTTGCTCTCTTGTCATTGGCTTCTTCCTTAGCATCTGCATAAGATCCTAGTCCCCTTGTGAACTTCTGAGTTACCATTGAAGATCTGAAGAATGGTGGTAGAGTCAGCCTCTCTAACTCTCTTTGCTTAGGCTTTTTATCTGGATCATTGTTTTGTTGAAATTTGATCTTTAGTAATGGTTATGGAGCTTAGTGATTGCCAAGAAACACAAATGATCATATTGGCTCAAATATGACTGTTGTATTTATTGCTCAATTACTGGAACTTTAACACTCTGGATTATTCGTATAGACTACGCACCTGGTGGGTAGAATACATCTCACACTCATTCTTGAGGCACAAAGATCTTGGCACTGTACTTGTTGTGGGAACTCTTTTTGTTGGCTTCGCTGTATCTAATTACAATAATAATACATTTTTCTCCAAAATAATGTACCGCACAGTCGTCTTCGTGTTCTAAATTGGACAAATTCATTTCTAATGTAATGTTGGAAAGACTAATGCTTTAGCTTTGTTGCTTTATTATTAATGAAATGTTCCTTATGTCAAGTCCATGAAAAACAAGAGCAGAAATTAAACAATAAAAAAGCCAAGATCATTTAGGTCAACTGCCATAGTCCATTAATTTGGCCTTCGAGATCTTACCTTTATAGACGAGCTCAATTTGGAGATTGCATAAATCATGAAAGTCAAGTTTCCAAACACTAAATTTCAGACAACAATTGTAAACATATATGTTATGTTTATAGCCACTAAACGACACATTATATCAGGTCTAGTGACAGTTAAATGAAGCAAACATCTTGCTGAATTTTTGCCAACTCTGAGTCTCAATTTTCACTTTGAGCCCTAAGATGTTTGTTTGTAATTCTCCATTTGAAATTCCTTAATACATCATTAGTGTATTTCTTTTTATTGATGATAGACTCTGATTCAAATTGATGTAGCTCAATCCGAATGAATTAGGACATTCTCTCAAATCTATCATATTACGTATATCTCTGTATCCACAAAAAATTTATTACTCTATGTGACAAGGAGTAAGGTAATCAAAAATTATTTCCCTTTTGCTACGCAGAACGTGTAGCGTTACTTGAACCCTTGTTGAACCCCAACTGAGGCAAGTAGTCGTTACTTCTGCCATACCAAGCTCTTGAGTAAGCACACGTGCCCTTCTTTCCATTTAACTTCAAATTTAGTAGTTCAGCATTGTTTACGTGAAGAGATGTGTTGGCTAGAAATATATTTATCTATGAATGTTAATAACATTTGTTTCATATATTTTGTATTGTATAATTATTTTATCTTAAAAATTTTTATTTTATATAAATAAATTTTTTTTTTTATTATGATTATTATTTGAACGAACTTAATAGAACATTTTATGATAAAAATTTTACGTATTACAGTATTATAAAATTATAAGAATAAAATATTAATATACAGATTGACATATGACACTTAAAATAAGTTAATGTTGATAAACCTGATGATCTCAAGCTACTGTTGCTCAACTTGTCGTAATGTAAAAATAATCATTTCGAGAAGTCGTATATTATTACAACAACAAAGGTAGAAGTCCCTCCCCATATCCTAAAAGTTGAATCATGGTACTGATGAGGAAAAGGAGTTCGGAATAAAAGGAAAAATACATCTGTAATCAACAGTTGTTATATTTATTTTAAAAATAAACAGACATTACCTCACAACGAGACTTGTAAAACATATAAAAATCATATGAATGTAAAGTTCATTATCACTCAATAGGAATGAAACATGAGGTAAAGGAAACTCATCACAATAGTCTATAAGATCCACCTATAGAGTACACAAATACATGGGGATTTTTCGGAAATATTTCGGTAGAATAATATTTGAAACAGTTTTGAATAAAAAACTATTTGGTCTAACC